GAATCGTAGGTATTGACTGACACTTGACTGCAGATGCCTTTAATACATGTACATGTGATCTGTCAAGTTACCCCAGAGGGAACAAATAAATAATAACTATAGCTATTGTACAGACAGAATATGACAGACTAGAGGAACTCCTATGTTTACATGACAATAATTATTTTCCAGTCCTTCCACTCATTCAAGTGTTTGAACTCTGGACGATGAGACTGGCAAAACATGTCGCACTTTTCAATAATCCATATCATTTGCAAAGTTATGACGCCAAGAAATGCAATTTGACAATACACATATTTAAAAAAAACACACTTAAGTCTCATAAGGAATGTTAACGGTTTAACCAACAGAACTGGAACTGAAACAATCGAGGCACAGTCAACTACCATTCATATTGGTTTGCCTGAGAATATGCTTGAAGTTTAAACTGCCACTGTTGCTGTCATCTGATGATCTGCTGTTTGTTTCAGTGTTAGAAAGTGCCGGGAATGTAGGGCCACTGGAAGAGCTTGCTGGTGTTTTGTTATTTTCTCCAGCCAATTCCTTGGCCAGATCTTGGAATTTCTTCACAAAGTCCACACTGTTCTCATCCATTATTGCATGCAATGCTGTCTCCGGCTAAAACAAACAAAGAAAAATAATATTGATAAGAGTACAGTTGGATCACCATTACCCATACCTTACATCTATTTGACTGAGAACTACACTGAAGCATAAGAGCTAGTGATTAGTGCAATGGACTCCAGATTGAGAGGTCCACGTTTGAGCCCTGGCAGGGTTATGGATCAATATACATTTCACGTGACATAATCAAACTCTAAAATCCAATACTAAAGAGCCATCAAAGTCTTTATCCTCATCAGGCATAAGAGGTGCTAATTTTATATCTGCTTACAACAGTTGTAAACAGATATAAAATTATGCCAACCAGCTCAAAAGTTGCCTTTGAGCTCATTGACATACTTCATTTGGAAACCAGCCCATTTTGAAATGCAGTGTTGTGGTGGTGTGCGACATAAAGTTGCAAATCATGTTTGTAAAAAAAATATATTTAACTCATGACTTTTAGCCATTTGAGAGGTAAACGTATCAGGAAGAGTGTTTATGTAAATGTATGTTGGCTCAGTATGGATAATCAGTCACCTAGATAACCAAAGTGTGTTCCAGAGTAGTGTGACCACAGACTGTTTTTTTTTTTTCTGCGATTTTTTTTTGTTAATGCTCACAAACACTCTTACAAATAGCAAATTAACACTCAATCATTTTCTGCAATTTTCACATGGTAATTAATATCCAATTAATAACCTAGATACATTATGTCTATATCACACCAAATAGCTATTATACCTCTACATTACAGACAACTCAATTGGTCTCTTAGAAACCACAATTTAATATAGTTATCTGTTCCTAGATATAATATAAACACCTCCATAATACAGACACTTGGCTATGGCCTTTCAGACCTTTCATGGTGGGCATTAAAGGGGTTCCACTATACTTCACAAATTTGAACATACATGTACATGTACGTATAGGTAATCATATGAATGCGAGTGCAATTGGGGATTTACACTAAGAGGGATATTTGAAAATCCTCTCAAAATTAGATGAGACTTTAAGCGGGTGAAATTTGAAAGAACTTTCAAATATCGTGTAAATCCTTAGTTACTCATTGAAGCTTTCAAACGATTACTAATTTAATGCATGATGGAGAAAATTAGGAACAAGCACACGTTAATTTTCACTGCAGTGGAAATTAAAAATTAATGATAAATTGGCCTGCTCTCAGCCAATCACAATGAAGTAATTTTCTCAGTCATATAATAAATATGGTAACAGCACTTACATCTAGAAGATGATGAGAGCTTAGAAGGTTATCCTGAGATGGCTCCTTGAAAACACTCTCCCCAGCTGACTCCTAGGAATAGCAAATTAACACAAATTCAAGTACATGTAACAGTTTGTAACAAACTCCCTGTTTTAGAAGACAACTCTGGACTTGTCTCCAAAGAGACAAAACGTCTGACAGAAGAATAAAGGAGTTTTTGGCCACATAGTTGGTGTTCTCACATAACAATGTGGGTAACAATAAAGGTTCCCTTAAAGCTACGAAATATTTCCTACCATTAAGCTGACAAAGGGAGACTACGGAGAGAAGTTCAGATGTCTGGAAGAGTTTTCAAGAGGTTTACATATCTATGGAAATGAATAGAGAGTTCATGGAAAATTCTCCCACCAAAAAAGTCTGCTAACAAAAGGTGTTTCATAGTGTGATATTAATTGTTTTATAGCAAAACAATTTAAATAAAGGAACACTACCATTTTATCGCTATACACTCCTGAAACTAGATGTATGATGCTAAAATACTCTGCAGTTATANCACAACATTTACACAGCACAACTTCATTTTTACAGCAATTTTTGTCTCACAGATTCAATTGTAGCTTCTTAGATAGCAGTGTGCAAAGAAAGTCCTGTCCAATAGTTCAAGGCCACTGGAAATACCAGTTGGGCATGTGGATTCTGTACATCACTTGCCAGATCAACAAGTGAAGTTCTTGGAAATTTAAATTACAGAAGTATTGTGAGGGAAAGTCCAAGCTTGAAAATTTGTTTTCTTTGCACCCTGGACAGTACATGTATGTGTGCCTGACAAGTACATAGACACATGTTCTGGTAAATGATTTGAGTGTAGTGAGAATATTCAAATGTTAAAGTCAAAATCGCGGCTAAGACCCTAGATTCAGACAAACTCCCCACAAAAAATCCAATCATGGTGTGATAAAAGTTTCAAATTCATTGGCAAGTTATATTGGCAATTGATGATTAACTGCATGTACCTCTCCATTGAACCACTGTGACTGAAAGGAGGACGGTAGTACGCTATCTGCATTTGGGGACAACATCAAAGATGGTACAGCCAAGCTTTCTTTACCAATGAGAGCCTCTTGTTGACTCTGTGAATCTACAATGCTACTAATAGGTCCTGCGCTACTGAAAAACACATCGCCTGTTGTTGAAACTGGAGACTGTACTGTTGAACCAGTGGAATTAAGAATGTTCTCCAATGTCGGACTGGCCATGCTTGCTGGCCCAACACCAGCTACGCCAGAATTAAGTTCCTCAATATGCACGTCAGAGGCAGTTAACACAGTGTTTGAACCAATTCTCTGAACAGTCTGTGCTGCTAATTCTAAGTTTGAAGTTTTTATGCTGGGAAGAGATGCTAGAAAACCGGAACTGGAATCTTCACTTATTCCTGCAATAGATGGGGATGTCCCATTGTCATCCAATGCTGTTCCAAGTGCAAGACCAATAATCGAATCTACAGAGTTTGATGTGGTCACAACGCTGTCCACTAATGATTTTGTGTTGCCAACAAAATGGTCCATAACAGCAAGAAGGTCTGTGCCTTCAAACCCTGACATTTCTAGACCTAAGGCGGAAGAGTTTGCATTTGCAAAACCACTTTCATCCACTGCACGTGGTGATGGAGAATCAACAAGGCTTGGGACAACAGCCAGTTCTGAAGCAATTGATGTTTCTGCAACAAATAACACCACATGTGGTTAGGAAAAACATTTTTGTACTCTGTTTACATTCAGTGGGAGGTGCGGTGCCCTCATGGTTAGTGCGCTCGTCTCTGGGTTGAGTGGTCCAGGTTCAAGGCCTGGCTGGGGACATTGCATTTTGTTCTTGGGCAAGACACTTTACTTTCGCAGTGCCTCTCTCCAACCAGGTGTACAAATGGGTGATGGCAAACTTATGCTGGGGTAACCCTGCAATGGACTAGCATCCCATCCAGGGGGGGCTGGAAATAATTCTTAGTCACTTCATGCTACAGAAACTGAGATAAGCTTCGGATTGATGGGCCCCCTTGGCACATATTCAGATTTTACCTACCTACATGTACCTTACATTCAGTAAATGTCACCATGCCTATGCAGGGTATACAAAGTGTTACAGTAAAGATGAAAAAGATTATTTTTCCCTCAAGGAGACCCAGCATGCAGAGAAAGTTGTGTCTTGTCAAGCTATTGGATTTTGCAGTCACATCAGTGGATTTTGTCCATTGCTTGCCCAACAGGGCAAGCAATAGAAATAAAGTAATAATAACCAACCTGGTGGTGTTTTAGGTGAAACAACTGTCTTAGATTGAGTCGTCCCTGTAGTTGTTGAGGTGGAAACACCAGATGCGAGGATGGTACCCACTGTTTGCCCTGGTTGTGGAATAAAAGAAACTGCTACGGCTCCAGGGGGAACAGAGCTTGGACTACCCACTGGTCGTGGTAAAAGAGTTCTATGTACATTTGGTCTCTGTTGTCTTTTACGAATTCTAGCAGTCGGACGAAGATCAGAAATAATAGTCTTGTTCATTGATGTTTGTGTGGCTGGAGGAACCACAGAGGGAAGGATAAAGGGTAGTTTGTCACTTGTCTTAGTGACAGGACGTGAAGATTTAGATCCAGTTTTCTCTTTTGAGACACTGGATGAAACACCTTTCTCTTTGGTCGCTGAGTGCAAACAGTTCTTAGTGAGTGATGCATCTGAAGATTTTGAAGTGGTCTTGGGCTCCTCGCTCCTTTCTTTTCCTTTCTTAAATTCTTCTGATGCAATATCTACAAGTTTTGTCAAACAAACAGCAGTTTGTGATGGCGCAAGGTTGTTCTCAATGTCATGCCATGTATACTCAAGTTTTAACTTTGGGGGCCTTCCAAGTTTGCAAAATATTTCTCCGAAAGTGATATTCCCACAAGTCCCTAAAGTCCAAAACGAGGGCTGATTCTTGTCATTACAAGATCCATTCTCATCTTGTTCAGCTGGCTCTGAAGTACAGCAAGACTCCATTGGTGTTTCAGTAGATCTTTGTGAAGAACCTTCCACATTCAAAGATTCTTCTGCTGATTTATCAGTTTGACCATGATTACTGGCACAACTGCTGCTTGGTGTGCCAGGCTCAAAGGATGCAGAATTGCACCCAGTCTTAGCCATCTCTTGGGGAGCATGTTGCAAGATTCCATTCAAACCAAGCACATTGGCCCCTGAAGATTTCTCTTCTGCCAACGAGGAAGGTGAACATGCTTTTGCCATATCTTCCACTGGTATGATGTCTGAGGTAGCAGCATTTTCTAGAAAGCAAAGATCACTTGACAATGCTTTGCAAGCTGGAGAGCCAGCTTGCTTGTCTACAACATCAGGGCTGACATACAATTCCGAAGGAATAACAATACACATTTTCAATGGTTCTAAAGTCTTTCTGGACACAACTTGCCACTTCTTCATAAGAAAATGAAGCATCAAACTCAGTGGTTTCTTTGGTGGCACTGAAGTTCTCAACCTTGGGTTCTTTGACAATTTTTGAACAGCTGCCCAAGCCGAATGGTTATGTGGCAAGAGCTCTACCACAAGTTTATTTGGCATAGCAAGGGACTGGGTGTCACCATCCTCTTTGCCTTGTCCTGTGGATGTAAGCCGTTTAAGAGCACGACATTGAACAGGTGCTTTGATTTTGAAATTTCGTCCTTTGCTGCGAATAGAAATTGTTCCATGGCTAAGCAGCTCTTCAAGCTTTTTGCCATGTTTGTCGTTCCAGCCACATATTCTCTTGCGTAGTTCTCCATAACAAATCAAACCTTTCAACTCAATTATCATCTTCTTTTGGTTGTCATTCCCACTCAGTTGTTCAGCAGGTAGATACTTAGCAATCTTGTTTAAGGAGCGATAATAGAAATGTCGCACTTGATCTTTGTTTTTAATAAGAGCAGGAGGGTCTCCTCTTCTCTTGTGTTTTGTTGCAATGAAGTGGCAGATCTTATCAAAGTCCTTGCCATATTCATGCAAAGCTTCAAAGAAAGTGTCTTTTTCTGCTTTCCCCCAAGACTCCCATTGCCTCTTAACTTGCTTTTTTCTTCTGTTTGTCTGTGGAGGAGATGATGATGACACCACTGCTTCACTGCCAGTACTGTTCTCTGTAACAAGCAAAACAACAACTAGATTGAGAACCAAGTAAAATATATTCACCTTAAACTAGGAGACGTGTGCAGGAGCAAAATTTTGTATCTATAAGATAAAAGCATTTTTCCTTGCTTTCAAGCTGTCAGTAACTGTACAACAAAATGTCTCATATCTTCAAAATCTTATCCAGTATTATTACTATAATAATATTGTATAAATCTATAAATCTATAACAAAATTCTCAGTCATGATTGGCTCTCTGCACGCCTATTTATCACATCATCAGCGTGCAATCATGTGAGTTATTATACAGTCGAACCTCCGGTTGCGACNGTGGTCGCTTACGGGAGGTTTGACTGTAATCCTGCTCATAATTTCAAATTGGCCTCGCACTGTGTGCTTGTCCGATTTTGAAACTACTCAACCAGTTACTCCCTGAATTGTACTCCACTCAGTTCAATTACTATTACTATTATTGTACGTTATCTAGATCCCAGTAAAAACACTGACCATGTAGAAATAATAAATAGTATGAATATTGTCAAATTTTATTTACAATCTTCATGATAGCTAGTAAGGCAAAATATTTCATTGTAATTTTCACTGGAAATCCAGAATTTCAAAGGAATGTTATTTAGAACGAATGAAAGTATATCTGTCTTAGTTATAGCCTGATTAAAGTGATACGTGTACCAAACCAACATCGACAATCAGTAAACAAAAGTGTGTATCAGCCTACAACTTTAACTGAATTTTTGCAGTTTTTAACACCAGTTCAAAACGAAAACGATGATAAAATGAAACAAGGAACTGCAAACCATAAGAAGCAAATAACTTTCAGTGATAGCCTAAAAATCGATGGGAACCGATTTCGCATACAGCTCAAAATGGCGGTCTGGTTTGCAGTTCTTGTGTCGTTTGTGCAAAACGTAAATTATTATAAGAAGTAGCATACCTTGGTTTACAACTCCATTAGCTGCACAAATTGTTAATTTTGGTCTTTTACTAGGTCTTGTACTACTTCTTGTCGCAACACCGACTGAATTATTCGAGGTTTCAGATGCTACAGCAAAACTTGAGTCCTTTGTTAATGTTTCCGCATGGTCTTCGTGAAGTCGTTTCTTTGAAGCCTGTTTCTGCGACCGTGTTTCGTGCAAAATCTGCGAATCTTTGCCAGAAACCTCTTCTATCAAATCTACACCTTTCTCGATGTCTTTCACTGCATTATCTTTAATGGATGGAGGCAGCCCATCGGCAGTCATCCTAGACGAAGAAGCAAACACAACAATGGCGATTATGGTAAACTCACAATTTCAAGTCGAACCCTCTTCCACATATTAATCGAAGTACTTCCTGTCACGAGAGGTCAGCTCTTTAAAGCTCGAAATCTAGCTAAGAAAGGAAAGCTAAAAAGTGCCAATTGCCGTGTTTTGTGGATTAGAAAGGGGAAAATAAGCTTATAGCATTGCTGTCGTTTCAATTCACGGTCGCTTCTCGACGAAGCGAAAACGAGAGCACAGTCACAACAATTGTACTTACCCCTTCCTTCTCCCATAATTTCGACAGCGAGTTTTCATGAGTCTTTCTAGTAATGCCAGCTGTCTTCAGTACAAAATAGAGCCTCATAACGGCCTTAAACCAACGAAAAAGTGCGAGTTTCGCTCGCTTACTTCAACACGATCGATAGTAACTGGGAAAGTAAGCGACAACAGGAGGGGCTAAGCTATGGAGAGATGCTGATAAGGCCACAAAATTATTGCCAAAAATTTTAAAACTATTTTTTCCCTTTTAATCAGGTGAGGAATTTTATAAGACTGTTTACAAATTAATTTTGATTTTGAGTTCAGTACAAAAAAAAGATATTGTGGTAATTTACGAGAAATGACAATAAAGTTCATTTTCAAAAAGTTATGAGTGACTCAGAAAATGTAAAGTAAGCTTATTACTGTCATTCTTATTTCAGTGTTAAAATCGAAATAGTTGGCTTCAAATGTAATGATGGCTAAATAAAAAAATTGCAATTTTGGGTCTGTCATAAGCTATAATTCAGTAGGCAAGGTAAGGTAGAAATTCTGATTTTTCGACTGTCAACATTCTCTGGTCAAATGACCTTGGCTTGTTGAAATGAGGGCCAGTTTTTCACTTGGATTTCTCCAGGACCGAGCTCGCTATGAAAAATGCCCCGACAAATTACGTTATATTACAAAGAAATGATGAGAGATTAGCTGCTTCAAATTACTACCATCCGTGATGAAACTCAGAGAAGGGAGTAAAATAGGCAGAGCTCGAACAATGCAAATCACCTGAAGTTGATGGCTGTAGAAATTTACAAATCTGACACCAGCGTTAGGAGAAAATCTCGCCTTCACATATTACATACACGACAAGCACATAAAACAGTTCCTTACGTTTAAAATAGGAGGAAATAGAGCTAAATTCCTCGATCGCATTAAGACTACCAGTAAAATATAGCAAGGAGATAATCACTATGGCTTACATATTCTATGACCAACACGTCCAGGCGGAATATCTCATTTGGCTCGTTCGATCGTCTCAGAATCGCTGCCTCAACAGACAACATAGGAGCGCTGTGAGTAGCCAAGGGTTTTTGATGCTGACCATACAAATTCCCAAGGAAGATTTCTTGCATTTACGATGTAAACAAATCCACAGGTTGTGAAATAAACGGCGTGAAGTTATTGATATTTGGTTTTGGCGCGAGCCTCTCACCGGTTCGTGGCGCGAACAAATGGTGGATTCGGATCACGTGACGCGTCATTGTTTCATACACTCGCAGGGACCTTTGGGTGATTTTAATGGCTGATAGCTTTTACACGATTCACACACAAGAGTAATAAAATTAACGGCCTTCCTGGAGTTTTATTCGCCAGTATCTGAACAAATGAAGTATTTGTTCATATAAATATACCGAATTGTACTTGTGGTACAACTCTTACAGATCAGTTTGCTAGCATTGCGTGACTTAACTTACGTTACTCACAGGAATACCAACCTCGGTGCGGGATGATTTTGCCTAGAAAGAAACTGAAAAATACAGATATCTAAAGAAAAGGTTTTAATGTGTGTAGACTATTTGAACTGAAATCTATTCCCAACCACTGTATTTTGCACCATATTTTGCACCAGATTTGAACTATTTTCAAGGTGGCAGAAAACAAATCGCAACTGTTTCATTTTTTAAGAAAACAAACAAACAAACAAACAA